TTCTCAGCGATACAATGATCCAAAACAGTTCGAAGAACTTATGATGAAAAATGCTGTCCACCTCCAGAGAAAGAACTGATGAAATCTGAATGCAGATTGAAGGATACTTTTAAAAAATTTTCTTTATTATTCTTGTTTTTTTTCGGTCTGCTTTTTCTTTTGTAACATGGGTAATATGGAAATGTTTTTGCATGTCTACACATGTATAATCTCTATCAAATTATTTGCATTCTCAGTGAGGGGAGAGGGAAGAGAGGAAGGAAAATAAAAGAAGTTTTAATAAATTTTAAAATTTTTTGTTTACATGTAATTGAGAAAAAATAAAATAAAAATTAAATGTTAAAAAAAAAGAGTCTATGATGTAATATGAAAGCCAAAAATGCTCATTTGCTCTTAAACTATATTGAGAGAGAGGCATGACATCCAGACCAAGAAAGTGAAAGTCCTTCTATGCTTTGGCCTTATGAGGACATAGATATGTTTTTTTTCAGTGTTGGTGCTATATTTTAGAAAATGGTGTAGATAAATTACAGAGTTCCCAAAGTGAAGTGACCAGGATGATGAAGGGCCTGAAGGTCATGCCATACAAAGAATGCTTTAAGAATTGGGGGATGTTCAATCTGAAGAGAAGACTGAGGGGCAACATGGTAGCCTTCTTCTAATATTTGAAGGGAAGTCATGTGGAAAGGGGATTTGATTTGTTCTGTTTTATCTCAGAGGATAAAATTAATAGCACTGAATGGAAGTTGTAGCGAGGCAGATGTAGGCAGGATATAAGGGGAAATTTCTTCACGATTTTAGGTACACAAAAAATAGAATGAACTTCCTTGGGGTAATGAAAGTCCAGATCACCACTTATTGGGCATGTCATAGATGGGATTATCATATAGTAACATATGGGACTGAATGGTCCCTGAGGTCTCTTACAACTCTGAGATTTTGTGATTTATAGACTCATAGAATATCAGAGCTGAAAGGAACCTTTAAGGTCATCTTGGTCAACCACATTAATTTTAAAATGAGGGGATTTTTATTATTTTTTTTCATTAGGAAAATTAGGCCCAGAAAAGTGGTTTGCCAAGGTCACACAAGGGATAGAGCCAGTACTAAAATACTGATCTTCTGGCTCCCAGTGCAGTTATACCTTGCCTCTATTATAACCATCTTCCCATCCTGGAGAAACTTCTACCTTGTGGCCCCACTTTCCTGATTGTTGATTCCTTGGTTTGGACTGACATTTCAGAAAGGACCCCAGCCATGCTCACTTCAGCTCTCCCCTACTGCAGCTCACTCTCCGGATTCCTCTACCTCTCCAGTCATCTCACCCCTGCCCCAGTATCTTTCCCTACCCTCACTTTCTAGCTCCCCTTATTATATTGCCTTCCTCCATTAGAAATATATGCTCCTTGAGGGTAGGAATTCTTTTGTTTGTTTCTATTTTTGTCCCCAGAACTGAGCACAGTGCCTGGCACATAGTAAGTGCTTAATCAATTATCTGTCTATCTAACTATCCTTCCATCCATCCATCTATCCAAAAACTATCTTTTTTGCAAGGCCTGAGAAAGGTCTTCTTTCTGGAGGAAGCCTTCCCTGATTACCAGGACCCACACTGTTCTCTCCTACTTCTCTGACCTCTTCTAGCCCTTATGACTCAGACCCAAATTCAACCCTAGATTATACATTGTCTTTTTCCTGTGCTCTTATTGTTTCATAGAAGGTAAGTCTTAACCGTCTACTCTAGGGGTTCTTAGTTTTTCTTGTGTTGTGTACCTGTTTGGAAGTCTGGTGAAGTCTATGGATCCCGTCTCAAAATAATATTTTTAAGTCCATAAAATAAAATGTATAAGATTACAAAAAAGAACCAGTTATATTGAAATAAAGATGCAAGATCACAGACCCCCTGAAATCTATCCACAGATGCCTTGGGGAGGTCTAAGAACCCCTGTTCTAATCAAACTTTGTGCTTCTGGGATAAAGTATTTACTTGGTAGTAAATAGTAGGCATTTAATAAATACTTATTCCCTTTTTTTCTTTCCCTGCTCTTCTGTCTTCCTTAGACTGAGCTCCCCAACCTCCAGGGCTCATCCTGTCCCTGAGTGAGGGAGCCTAGAGGTTAACTGAGGAAAAGCAAGTTCCCCAGATAATCTAGTTGGGTTGACATTCAGATAGCTTGCCTATGGGCCTCCCCAGAGGTGGACAATTTCTTATTGTTAACTTTCTAATGTCTCTTCTAAAACCACAACTCCCAGTAGCTAAGTTTTCAGTGGGGTTCCAGCAAGATTCTGAGACTTGGGGGGCTTGGAAAAGCCCTAATTAACAAATTTATTGAATGGGGAAAGATGGAAACAAAGGCCCAGCCTTGCTCAGGGCAATGGGCTGACCTTGATCCAAACACTATTCCCCTGTATCCCTGAAAATAAGCATGTGTATTTCATATTGAGCAGAAAGGGCTCTTGGTGAGAGACTGAATCTCAGGGTCCCTTTTGTGCCAGCCCATTGCTGGGGGCACAGAGAGAGGGAGAACTGACCCAGACCCTGCCCTGGAGGGAGCTCTTCTATTGACTTTCACAGGCAAGTCTTCTTCCTTCTCCTGGCCTCAGTTTCCTCTTCCGTAAATTGAGTGAGATTGGACTAGGTGATCCCTGTTCTGACTGTAAGTTTTCTGATCATCTGGTTTCACCCGTGTCTGAACAGGATCCCACTCTCTCCCTACAACATTCCCAGGTAATCATCCAGCGTTCCCGGGAAGGCTTCTGATTTTCTAACAGATTTCAATTACACCCAGTTTGGTCCAAATTAATATTTCCTTAATTGGCTTTTTGATCTCTCATGAGTTATTAGTGTGCTGTCTCCCTCGCAGACCAGGTGGACACTGTGACCCTCTCTCATACTCCATAAGAATGGAGACATGTCCTTTTCCCTTGGTTCTCAACCTCCCAGTGTTACTATCAGGATGTGTCTATGTCTAAGGTTTATATATAGGATGGAGTTCAGGAGGGCATCTGGGGAATAGTGGAAAGAAGACTGGATTTAGAATCTAAAGACCTGGATTTGAGTTCTGGTTCTGCCATTTACTAGTTGGACTATTTCCTTCCCCTCTCTAAACCTCAGTTCTTCTATCCATAAATGGTTATGTTGGACATGGACTCCTTGGTGGCTAGATGGTGCAATGGACAGAGCACTGGGCCTGGAGTCAGGAAGACCTGAGTTCAAACCCAGCTTCAGACACTTACTAGCTGTGCTACCCTGGGCAAGTCACTTAACTTGTGTTTGTCTCAGTTTCCTCAAATATAAAATGGGAATGATAATAGTATCTATCTCTCAGAGTTGTTGTGAGGATAAAATGAGATATTTGTAAGGCACTTAGCACTGTACCTGGCTCATAGTAGGCACTTAATGTTTCTTTCCTTCTTTCCTTCCTTCCTTCCTTCCTTTCTTCCTTTTCTTCCTTCTTTCTTTTTTCTTCCTTCCAGATCCCTGACTGTGATGTAGGTCCTATATGAAATGCTCTAGGAGATGACACAGGTTGACAGGCAAATCAATAAATTAATCACAACCAAGTTCAGTGAGGACTCTTCAAAGCATTCCAGATTTTCCCTCTGCCTTTTCCTTACTTCTTCTGCTTTATTATTTTACAATCTGGTGGGGTACAGGGAAAGAAATGAAAATCATGCAGGCCCTCATCAGCTCACACCTGGATTGTTATAACAGCCCACTGGTGGGTCTGACTGCCTCAAGTCTCTCCCTACTCCAATCCACCCTCCATTCAGCCACCTAAGGGATTTCCTTGAGTGTAGGTCCGACCAGGTCACCTCACTACTCAATAAATTCCATTGACTTCCTATTGCCTGCAGGATCAAACACAAAATCCTTTCCTTGGTGTTCAAAGCCCTACATAACCTAGCCCCCTCCTACCTTTCTAGTCTTCTTATACCTTACTCCAAGACACATACTCCGGCACTGGCTTCTTGGCTGTTACACAAACAAGACACTCCATCTTTGGGCTCTAGGTATTTTCTTTGGCTGTCCCCCATGCCTGGAATGCTTATTGTCTTTCCTGGCTTCCTTTAAGTGACAACTAAAATCCCATCTTCTACAAGAAACCTTTCCCAAGCCGTCTTAATTCTTGTGCCTTCTCTGTTTTAACTATTTCCTATATGTCCTGTCTATAATAGCTTGTTTATAAATATTTGTTGTCACCCACACTAAATTGTGATCTCCTTTTTTGCCTCTTATTGTATCCGCAGCACTTAGCACAGTGCCTGGCACATAGGAGACACTTAATATTGCTTGATTATTTGTCAATATGCTCACTAGCTGTGACCCTGGGCCTCAGTTTCTTCATCTATAAAATGAGGATAATATTCCATGAACCACATAGGTTGTTGCGGGGAAAGCATGACGTAAACTTTAAAGGTCTATATAAAATGTTGTTAGCAGAGCTTGGGGTAATAGAAAGGATAAGAGCTGAGGAAGAAGGTAGAGAGGTTGGAAGAATGGGAAGAGAGTGAAAGGGAATCATAAGGTCATTCATTTAAAGGGAAAGAATTTTAAAGATTCACCTGATATTTCTCAAAACTTCTGGTCTCAGGACCCTATTATGCTTTTAGAAATTATTGAGAACTCCTTAAAGAACTTTTGCTAATATAGGTTATCTCTATTGATACATAACATTTTAGAAATTTAAATGTCTTATTATTATTATAAAAATAATTTGGGCCTTACAGATGCCCTGAAAGGGTCTCAGGGAACCCAAGGAATCACTGGCCCACTGAGAACCACAGATCAAGACTAGTCCTTCCCCACATGCCCTTGTTTTACAGATGAGAAAAACAAGTCTCCAAGAGAGGAAATGACCGACCCAAAGCACCACAACTGATAAATAATAAAGCTCAGATTTGTGCCCTGGTAACACCATCAGCAGGCCCTGCATGGTCAAGAATGGCCAGGGACATGTTTAACATTTCCCCTCCTTTCTCTCTTTCCTCTTCCCTTCTAGGCTGCCGGCAGATGTGGGACAATATCACGTGCTGGCCACCAGCTGCCTGGGGCCAAGTGGTCATCATGCCCTGCCCCAAGATCTTTGAACACTTGTTCTCAAGCCAGGGTAAGTGGCTTCAGATTAAGAGTCTGGTCTGAGGGAGGGGAAGGGGGCAAGCAAGCAGAAGGTTTAGTGGTCAGTATGCAGAACTCTCTTCTCTGACCTCTGTGGGACATTGTGTGCTTTAACTCAATCTCTCAATTAACCTGTCATCAAGACTTTTCTGAGATCCCTGTGTATCCAGCCTTGTGATGTCACCAGCTACAGTGTGGAAGAGGTGGTGGAGGGCTTTGCCCTCAAGGAGTTTACAGTCTAGTGGGGTACAGAAGAAGAAATGAAAAAGGCATTAGGTGAACATACAGCATGAGAGAAATAAAGAGCAGACAGAGACCTTGCTCTCAAGGAGTTTGCAATGGAGTGTGGGGGATCAAGGAGAGAGGGAACAGGTAGGTAGGAAGAGAGAGAATTGGGTTTCACTTTGGAGAGATCTTCATCTTTCCAAAAGAAAGAGAGAGAGAAGAGGATCAACTAGATCAGAGGATCAGCTGGACAGAGAGGAGAGGCAGAGGTGGGCCCTGTCCTTGGGTATCTCACAATCTAATAAGGAGAGAAAGAGGGATAGCAGCCCGAGACTCTACCCTCAGGAACCTCATAGTCTGGGAAAACAGAGGAAGAACAGAGCTAGCTTCTGAAGAAACACATTAGGGCAGAGTGTGACCCAGGGTGGAAATGGGCATTCAGACAGTAAGTGCTGTAAAAATTCCAGGAAAGGCAAAATGATTGATTCAAATTAGAAAACAGAACCAGAAAAGATGATACAGTGATTGTATAACAATGGAAGTTCAGTAAGAGTGGTACCATATTGTACCTAGGTGTTTTTCTTTAAATCTAACTATGAATGGTATATTATTTATTTATAACTGGTAATCATTTAATTGTTACAATTTGTTAATTATATATACTTATTACCCCCTCCTTAAAAGATTGTAAACTCACTGAGGGCAGAGACTATGTCATTTTTCATCTTTATATCCCTTGTGCCCAGCCCAGAGATTTGTTCATAGAAGATGTTTAATAAAAGCTTATAGAACAGAATATAATTTAATTATTTAATTTAGTAGAATTTATTTTTGTTTTAAAAAATCAATTGCAGTCATATGATTTAACCTGATGTTCAAATAATCTTTGAAAAGCCCAGCTGTATAGACCACAAAACCATAACCTAGGCTTCAGCAGCTACCTGAATTATAGGCATAATGCTTGAAATCCTGGACTTTAGGCTCTGCTCTGGTATGAAATACCTACATGACTTTGGAAAAGTTCTTTTTTCTCTTTGGGCCTCGATTTCCTCATCTGTAAAGTGATAGTGCTGGACTTTAATTCTCTAAGGTCCTTTCCAGGTCTGATGTCCTAGTATTAACGACCTTTTGAAGGGTCAGTCTTGCAAACTCATTCCTGGAAAGCATCACAAACGCTCAGCCATAGCATTCTAGGATGGTGCTATGTTGTGATTCTTGGGGAAATACAAAATTGGAGGAATGTGTCCTTGATTGAAATGTTAGTAGTTAGGATGGGAATAATATTGAGGGTGTGCTAATGCACACCAGACAATTCAACAAATATTCAGTAATTGCCTACTATGTGCAGACACCTTGCTTGCCATTAGAAATACAAAGACATAAAAACCACACATCCCCTCCCATCTGGTAACTTACAGTCTAACAGAAAGCATAGGACATGTAGACAAATTAAAGATAATACAAGGTAGAATGTGATACAGAAAAAGGAGAAAGTGAGGTAAAACAAAAAACAAAAGAGGTAAAGATCACTTTTGGCTGAGCAGATAATGGAAAGAAGAGATTATGGAAGAAGTAGCACCTGACCCAGGCACTGGAAAAAAAAAAAAGACAATGAAAGATTTCAGTATGCAAAGATGAGAGAGGCATGAGCACTAGCCTGGACAAATGCATAGAGTAGGAGATGGCTAGACAAGATTAGGGGATGGCTAGTAATCCAATTTGGCTGAAATATAGAATACTTAAAGGGGAGTAAAGTGGAAAGGTATGCTGAAAGCTGTAGAGAATCTAGAATGAGTTTTCTCTTTTATTTCATGGACCCTGGGGAGCCAGTGAAGGTTTTTGAGCACCGTGGTCAGAGCTGTGTATTGGTTTCTTTTTTGTTTTGTTCTGTTTTTTTTTGTTTGTTTGTTTGTTTGTTTTTAGGCAATTGGGGTTAAGTGACTTGCCCAGAGTCACACAGCTAGTAAGTTTCAAGTGTTTGGTCTGAGGCCGGATTTGAACTCAGGTCCTCCTGACTTCAGGGCCAGTGCTGTATCCACTGTGCCACCTAGCTGCCCCCAGACTGTATTGGGCAGCTATTGGGAAGACTACTCAGGTGATATGTGAAAGACAGATGGATTGAGAGGGGGACCGGAAATAGTTACAAGGCTATTATAATAGTTCAGGCAGAAGTGGAAGCCATGGTATTTTCTGACTATAACACACTTATTAAACCCTTAATCTGTGCAGAGTCCTATGCTCAGAACTAGGGGGAAATGTAAAGTTTAAAGAAGGCCTACCTTCATTGAGCTTCTAGCTACTAACATCCCTAACTACAACACATTTTACATAAACCTCAAATGGTTGCAAAGTGCTGTGTTAAATCTAACTGGAAAGGCCATTGATTCATGGTTGGGGGTGGGAGGTAATCCATGAAGGCTGCCTGGAAGAGATGGTATGGGAGTTGAACTGAAGATCAAACCTCTCTCCTGTGGGAAGAACCATGTCTCAAGTGAACAGGGCAGTGATGTCTCATGGTTAAAGCATATCAGTATAGTTAAGCATTAGCTGGCCATCAAATTCACTGGCCTTGCCTTTTCTCGGCTTCCTGGAATAGGTGGGGCTAATTAAATTCCTCACTAAGGTTCTGATTTTTTTTTTCTACTTGAACTTGGAAGGTTCACCTCTTCTCCGGGGTCCTGGCTTCTTGTTGGCCAAATGATATTAACTCCTTGGTTGCTGACCTGGAGCAGAAGCTGCATCAGCTATCACCTTCTGTGTCTTGTCCAAAGTGGGCTGTCTGCAGTAACTGCATAGTGGATAGGAAAGACTCAGGTTCAGATCTCATCTCAGATACTTATGAACTGTGTTATCCTGAGCAAGTCCCTCAGCCTCTCTAGGCCTCAGTTTCCTCATCTGTAAATTGGGTTGAACTAGATGGCCTCTGAGGTCTCCTCTGGTTCTAACAATTGATCAGCCTACAATCTATATTCTCCCTACCTGCATTTCTGAAACAAAATTCTCAATTCTTACTGCCCAGTTTCTTAGTTGCTGCCCCAAAGCCTGAAGAATTTGGTCCTCTAACTTTCCCACCTATTCGCTTTTTCAGCTTAGGGCCTTAGACTAGGGACATCAGAAATGGAAAGGACTCTAAAACATAGAATATTAGGGCTGGAAGGGACCTTAGAAATCTAGGAGTTCTTAACCTGGGGCTCTGAACTTGCTTTTTAAGTATTTTGATAACTGTCTTTCAATATAATTGGTTTCCCTTGTAATCCTATGTGTCTTATTTTATGTATTTAAACACATTCTTCTGAGAAGCCTATAGGCTTCATCAGATTGTCAAGGAGGTCCATGACACAAAAAAGGTTGAGAACTCCTGATCTCGCCCAACTTTCTCATTTACCTGAGGAAAATCTGAGATCCAGAAAGGAGAAGCAAAGGCATTTAGTGAGTTAACAGCAGAACAGGGACAAAAGCTCTGGACTTCTCCATCTCAGCCCAGTGTTCTGGCCACTCAAATATCTATTTCTCCCTCCTGTTTAGGCTGGAAAGGAGAGGAATTTTGGGGTGAGGAGAGCACTAACACCTTTGAGGAAGTTTGGAGGAGAGAATGGAGCAGGAATCATGAAAATCCTCCCATAGGAGCAGGTTCTTGACCTGAGCCTTGGAGGGAGCTAAGAATTCCAAGGGATGAAATTGAGGAAGGGGAGCATTCCAGGCATGAGAGACAGCCTATACATGAAGCATGAAGACAGAAGAATGTCATGTGTGGGGATCAGTAAATGGGCTAATTTGGCTGGAAATTAGGGTGAGGGGGGAGCAGTGTGAAGAAGTCTGGACAGATTGTGAAGGGTATTACGTACCAAACGGAAGCATCTGCATTTTACTGGGGAGTCAAAGAAGGCTTTTGAGCATGTGAATGACGAGGTCAAACTAATGCTTTTGGAAGAGCCATTTTGTAGCTATGTGGATGATAGATTAGAAAGAGGAAAGACTGGAGGCAGAGATACCCATCAGGAGGTTATTGCAGTGGTCCAGGGAAGAGGCAGCTGTATAAATGGAGAAATACAGCTAGATAGGAGAGATGATTGTGTTGCGCCTCTCTCCTTTAGACAATGTGCTACATGGGAGCCTGGCCCTCTCATGAAGGGGGTCCCAAGGTTGGGAAACATAATTCTTCTCCAAGAGACTTGCATTTATTCCTCCAGCAGAATGGGTAGCCGTATGGGCATCCTTAGTCTTGTTCAGTTGTCTCTGACTCTTCCTGATGCCATTTGATACTGGCAAAGATACCGGAATGGTTTGCCATTTCCTTCTCCAGCTCATTTTACAGATGAGAAAACTGAGGCAAACAGGGTTAAGTGACTTACCCAGGATCACACAGCCAATAAGTGTCTGAGATTGGATTTCAACTCAGAAAGATGAGTCTTCATGACTCTAGGCCCAACATTCTATCCACTGTGTTCACCTAGCTGCCCCTTCCATAATCTTACCCAGACACATTTTTTTTACTAAAAGTACATAACTGGTATGGCTAGCATATAGGTTAGGGAAGGGATCAGGACTCCAATATGGTTAAGATTTGGTCTGAGGCTAATTTAGGGGTCTTTCAGGTGTTAAAATAAGTCCATAATGGAAAGACAGAAGTCCCTAAATAGCAGGGTGCTAAGGAGATAAGTTAGTAACAAATAGTCTTCCTGGGAGAGCCAGATCAAAGTCTTCCTAGAAAAGGGGCCTCTCTCCTTTCATTGGACAGGTGAAGGAATATGGGTAGGAAATGTTGCA